GCGCGTTCGATTGGCAAGCTTGAGCAAAATGAAAAATGGTGTTCGTGCACACGCTCCCGCACGCACACACATGCACACGCGCGCATGTAAGCAAACACACGCACACACACGCACACACGCACATGCAAGCACGCACGTCTCGCCCACAGCCAGCACAGGATTGCCGTCTGCATCCGTCTGCACAACCGCAGCGCCAAACGTTGCCATCTTTCCGGAAAAGCTGTTGGAGATATGGAAAATTGCCTTCGATGTGGTGGTCCTTCTGTCCGCTGTCATCTGTTGTCACAACAGCGATTCCGCTTTCCAGGACACACAACCTCGAAGGTGCAAAGCCACCTTCCCTGTTAGCCCTGTTGGCTTGTGCCTCATATCTTTGTCTTCTCCATGGTTCATTGACGTATGCTAGTATGCTCTTTCCTTTTCTCTTGGCCTTCGCGTATCCTCCTTCCTGTCCTTCGCCCACACACTCCAGGAGAGGAAATGAACATTTTTTTCTGTTCACTAAGCTCTTTCTTAGCATTGTGCGCCTGTACTCGTTTGAACTCAAAGCTGTTTATCTGCATGTGTTGCTGCCAGCTGCGTCGAACTGTCCCCTGTTGTGGTCTCGCCGTCTGCACTCCTTTACCACGAAATTCCCTCCTCCTGTAAACACAAACGTGCGCCCGGCCCGTTCCTCTTCCTCACACGCCCTAGAACCAGAGAACACACGAACTGAACTAACACACTACCGGTAGCCCACCCTTACTTGTCTCCCTCCCACCAATCATCGTTGCTTCATTCGTTCGATTCCACGTTCACACCAATCCATACATTCATCTATTCACAATTAACCAAACAGCCAAACAGCCAAACAGCCAAACAGCCAAGAACACGAACCAGCCTTTCTGCCATTCAGGCATGGTGCTGTTGGCTGGCGTGCAATACAGAGACGGCCATGAACCAAAAGGGAGCGAAAAGGCAGCGCATTGCATCGCACAGTAACGCGGGAGGAGGGAGGAAGGCGGCAAATTAAAGAACAGAAGCGATGACGATGAAACGGAAGCTCATATCACGTAACGAGAGGCAAGGGCAGCAAATTACAGACGGATTCGCACAGAAGCTGACGATCGTGCACAGAACACGGACAGTGGCAAATGTTGTTGAAGGGTACTGCCATCCAGAAGGCGGCTGCTGTTCTGCTACTTGCAGCATCAAGCAAGCAGGCCAGCAGGCAAGCAAGTAGGCAAGCTAGCAAGCCAGCCTGTGTTGCAACAGCCAAGGGGAGAACAGAGAGCACCTCGCCCCTTTGCCGGTGTTTACATGTCGGCAAACACGCCGATGAGCTCGCCACGGATGTGGCGCGCAAGCTTGATGTCCTTTGGCATCAGCGTGACCCTGCCTGCATGCACGGCGGCGAGCATGGCGTCCTGGAAGAGGCCGACCACGTACGATTCTGTTGCCTGGAGGGTGTCAACAGCGAGCGTGTGCGGAATACGCGGATGAGTGTGAGGAGGGAACATGCACGGGTGCAACACACGCAAATGACCCCCGCCCGGTACAAGAATAAGACCAGCACAGCTATCCAAACACCAAACCAATCTATCAAGCAATCAACCAAACAATCTCTCGATCCGTCGGCCTTGCATGCATCTCACCTCCTGAAGAGCAAGCAGCGCATCCACGCGAAACCGGCAATCTGTGACAGGACAAAACGACAGCAGTGGTGAGTGCTGCATCAAGCAGTGTGGCTGAACTCGACAAAGCAATGCTGTACATGATCGCACCGTGCTTGTCACAACCACACACACACACACACACACACACACACGCACACACACACACACACACACACACACACACACACACACACACACACATACACACACACACGCACACGCACACACACACGCACACACACACGCACACATACACACACGCACACATACACACACGCACACATACACACACGCACACATACAAGCACACTGACCGCTTTTCATGTCCTGCGCAATCTCACGACACAGGCGCTGAAACGGACGCTTCAAGAGAAGGAGGTCGGTGCTGCGCTGGTACTCGCGAATTTCCCGCAGTGCACGCTGGCCAGGGCGAAAGTGGCGCCTCTGCAACAGCGACAACCGAATCAACCCACGAAACAGCATGTGACAAGAGAGTCAGAGAGGAAGTTACGCAGGGATGCAGGGGAGTTGCTCATTTTCGCTTCCACAAGAGCAGCAGCAGCAGCAGCACACACACACACACACACACACACACACACACACACACACACACACACACACACACACACACACACACACACACG